TTAGAATATCTCAAATACCTTTCATTTCAACATAGAGAACCCACTTCTAAAATGACAAATCAGCATGTCATTAATTTAACAATAAGGTCATTTTTGAATTTTATATTTTTCTTTAAAAAGTTTCTCATATCAATTAAAGTATTGGTAGTAGAAATATTATAGTAGTTACTTTTATATTTTGCTCTGAAATCTTTGTAATAGTTACCTTTATAGTTTGCCTTTTCCTTATTTATTTATTTAATTTTTTTTGAGAGTTTTTTCTATAAGGCGCGTGCGCTCGCCAGACAGACAGAGAGACAGAAAGCAAGAAATCATCCCCCAGGGGGGATAACCATGCAGCAATCCCTTCTCCTCCATTCTCCTCTCAGGATCTTGGGCACACATGCACACGCGCCTGATGTGAGTTCAAGCCACCGGGTCTGGAACTCGAACCATGGTCAACTACGTGGGAGTCCAGTGACATAGCCACTATGCTAACTGCTGGTCCCTCCATTTCCTCTTAATTTCATGTTTTTAATATTTTTTTCCATAGTGCATGTGGATTAGCCAGAGACAGAGAAGGAAACTGAGAAATCACCTTCCCCCCACCAGGGGAGGATAGCCATGCTGTGATCCCTTCTCCTCCACTCTTCTTCTGCCCAGCATGATTTTCAAGCAGCCAGGTTGGGGGCTTGAGCTGCTGTTGCAGTCCACAGTCTTAGTCACTATGCCATCTGCTGACCTCTCGTGTCTTGAATATTTTAAATGCAAGTATTTTATGTCTTAAATGTGTGTCTTTCATGTATAACCTCAATTCAAGTTTCTGATTAGTAAAATGTTTCTAGAACAAGGTTTAAAACTACCATTTATATATTTAGGTCATTTTAGCATGGAGCATTTAAAGTTATGTTACAACTATGAAAACACTTCCATTCTTGGATTATCACTGTAATTAATATGTGTCTTTAGTAAGGTATGGTTATACTTATTTAGTATTTATTATTTCCTTTGCTTATAACATTTTTAATGCTTTGGTTAGTTAGACCATGTGCTATTTATCTGTTTCATTAGAATATGCCACTGGGGGCCAGCACGTGGTGTAGTGGTTAAGTTGCTAGACTTTCACAAGTCTGACTGCTGTTTGAGTCCCAGACCTGGTAGCTTGAAAACCATGCCGGGCGCATGTGCATGCATGCTCAAAATCCTAGGAGGAGAATGGTGGAGAAAGGATTGTGGTGTGTCATCTCCCCTGAGTTGTATTTTCTCACTTTCTCTCTCACTGTCTCTGTTTCTCTCCAGAAAGCACATGTACTCTATGGCAAAACCATTAAAAAAAAAAGTACAGTCCTGAATAAATGAATTATACCAGAAATAACAACATTGCTTATTAATCACTTGCTATGTGCCAAACAGTATTTTAAATAAAAGATGATCTGAACAACTCAAAATATTACTAATTATATAGTTTAGTTGAGATGACTGGATATTAGACAGGTAAAAAATAATAATAATTGCTTTTAAAAATAATAACAGGGTCAATCCTGTGATTTAGTGATTAAGGGAACAAAATCCCACATGGCTGACTCCATAGGTCACAACTCAGTCCCAGTGGCTTGAAAACATACTAGCTGGCATGCCCAAAGTCTCACCATGATGGGCAAATGGAGGAAAAGGGATTGCAGTGTGGCCATGCCCCACTGGGGGTTGCTTTCTCCTTTTCCCCTTCTGTCTGTCTCTGTGTTTCTTTGGCAGGAGCACATGCTCTCTGACTTATAAACAAAAAATAATAAAAATGAAATAATAGTAATGTTTTAGTTACTGAAGATGTATTTCATAAATATAGCAATAAAATTTTGTTTTAAGAATAAATTTCGGGACAGCAGTTAGCGTAATGGCTATGTCACTGGACTCCCATGTAGTCGACTGCGGTTCACGTCCTGGACCTGGTGGCTTAAAACTCAGGCTGGGCACATGTGCGTGCGTGCCCAAGATCCCGAGAGGAGAATGGAGGAGAAGGGATTGTGGCATGACCATCCCCCCTGGGAGGTGATTTTTCGCTTTCTGTCTCTATGTCTCTCTCTGTCTGTCTGGTGAACGCATGAGCCCTATAGCAAAATTCTCTCAAAAAAAAAAAGAATAAATTTCATTAAAAAAATTGAGGTCTATATGGAGAAACAAATAATGGAGGGAATTACTATATGCCAAATTATTAAAAAGTTCATGAAAAGCACATATTATGAAGAACCGATGCGTGAATTTCCAATTTTTTTAATACACACACACACACACACACACACACACACACACATATATATATCAGTTTATTAAAGATTTGCATTTGGAAACAGTGATGGATGTTCTTAAAGCTGCCAAATTCCTAATGTTTATTAAAGAAGTCATTTTTAATATGTTATATTCTTAGGTATCTTTTCTCCCACATAGTCAGTACCTGATTGAGAACAGAGATGATGATAAAAAATATCCGTATTCATGCAGTAAATATTGAATAATGGCCTGCTATATGTACATAATACCGTGCAGGTTTTGCAAGTCGCAAGAATAAATAGACACGGTTCCTCCCTGGGGGAAGTTAATATTTAATTAAGGGAACAGATTTTCACGTAAAACTAAAATGAGCTCTGTGAGATCCAAGAGGAAGGAGTATTGTCACATGAAGCATTGGCCTAAGATGAAAAATAAGTTAGTTTCTGAGCAGATTAAGACTATCCAATATAAACAAAAGCAAGGAAGTGTGAAAATGAATAGCCTCACGAAGGAACAATCAAATGTCAGAAATCAATGAGTTATGGGGTGCATAAAAGTAGAAGAAAACACACCTGCAGAGTTAAGATGTAACTAAATCATGCAGGAACTTGACTGCCATGCCTGAATGGTATGATATCATAATGTCCACTGGAAATGTTTATTTTGGACAAAATTTAGCAGTGTACCAAGTCAAGTGTTAGTGGATATCTGTGGTGGTGTGTAGTTAGAGATTCTGATGATGACTCTCTCTGAGACATTTGTTTAGATTTGGACATTTTATTTGATATTAATAAGCTATAATAAGATTACTATTATCAACATTTGAGAAAAAATGATAGGTATTCAGGGTTTCAGAATTTATAATTATTGGAGAATGAGATAAGCTTAATCATAGACATCAAATTGTAGAAGACAAAACACACACTACCAAAGCAGGTTCAGTTTAGTGGAAGATGCTTTGAGTGTTTTAATGGTCAATTAGCAATTATTTTTGAAATCCACATATAGACTATTTTGTCTTTTCAACTTCTTACTGGCCACTAGACTTAATAAGGAAGGCATAGATGGTAGTAAAGATGTTACTAATTTCCCCTTATGGGGGCTATTTTCCAGTAATTTTTCAAAGAGTGAATTGAGAAATGGGTCTTCCCATTCAATCTTCCAGAAAAGATAGTGCAAAATAAATATGAATTCATCCTTAAGTGTTTCCCAGAATTCTGCAGAGAAATCATCCGGGCTTGAAATTTTCCTTTTTGGAAGCTTTAGAATAATTCAATTTATTGCGTGGTTATGGAATGATTCAGTTCTACTTCAGCTTGGAAGTGTCAATAGTCATATAGCTCACCATCAGTTTGGCCGGCTTCCTTTCTGATTACAGGTGATCCGTGATCAACACTGGGGACGTTAGGAGGCTGACCACACACAGAAAAAATCCATGTATAACTTCTAGGTCCCCAGAACTTAACTACGAATCGTTTACTGTTACTTCCCGGGAGCAGAACAGACCACGTGCTCACCCCAGCCCAAGTCTAGCCCTGGACCAGAGCAGCAGTCCCTGCAGATTCAGTTCAAATCTCTGCTGCTGAAACCTCATTTCACAGTAGATTTGGAGATACCATTTCTCCCTTGCCTGGCTAGCTATCCAGGAATCAAGAATGTGTGGACACTGGATTTCTTACTTCCTTATTTTGGGGATAATCTTTTTTTTTTTTTTTTTTTTTTTTTGCTGTAGGGCATGTGTGGTAACCAGAAAGACAGACAGAAAATGAGAAATTGCCCCCCAGGGTGGATGGCCACGCCGCAAACCCTCCTCCATTCTCCTCTCGAGATCTTGGGCATACATGCACATTTGCCTGGTGCGAGTTTAAGCCACCAGGTCCGGGACTCGAACCACTGTTGACTACATGAGAGTTCAGCGACATAGCTGTTACACTAACTGCTGGTCCTAGATAATCTCATTTTTCAAAGATAATAAATTTAGGGTTCAGTTAGAAGTCTGCATGTAAATGGACCCATGCAGTTCCATGCCATGTTATTCAAGGTAAAGTATACTTTCAATAACCTTCTCACTCCTTTTAGATTTTAGTGTATATTTTCTCATTAATAAAATCGGCCTACTTCACTTGGTTGTTATCAAGCTTGAAGTAAAAAAAAAAAAGTATGTAAAGATATATGGTAAATCTCTCTAAATTATGTTATTATTCTTGTTTTCTTGGAAGGCTATTTGTATATTCTGTTGGGTTATGCCTTCTTTTTTGTTTTGTTTTTACTTCTGTTTCAACTTGCACTCATAGGAGAAAGACACAGAGAGAGAAAAAGTTGGAAAGCGAGAAAACACCCCACCCCTGTGGGAAATGGTCATGCTACAATCCCTACTCTCCATTTCTCGATCCTATTGGGATTTTGGACACACACACACACACACACACACACACACACACACACACACACATTTGGTGTATTTTTCAAGTCACTGCGTCCAGACAGTAGAACCAGCTACCTTAACTACCAGGCCACAAGGTGGACCCTGTTTTTGTTTTTTATTATATTCAATTAAACCAGTAGGAAGGAGATCAAAATGTCAAAAAAGGAAAAAAGTAAGAATAGAACTAATTCAATTCCCTTGTTAAAATTTAATGTTAAAAGTAACTATCCTGGAAATTTTGCTGTGTATAATTATTTATCTGCACTGAGTCTACCTAGGGTTAATAAAGAATGTTATGAGAATATTGCAAAAGAATCACGATTATGCGGTTGCTTTGATATATTCTTTATTTAAAAAGCTGATCAATTTTATTTCCAAGAAAAGCCTTAAGACCAATGTAGATGCCAGCCATTGAATTCATTCTTTATGCAAGTAAGCAACCACATAGTAAAGAGTAACAATGATGTCACAGTTTTTTCTGTTTTGACATGTTGTTTCCGGAAACATGTTTTCTCCATCTTGACCTACAGTTCTAGTGACTTAAGTCCTCTGATTATACAGTTCTCACAATCCAATTTGATCCAGTTCATTAAGCTTACAGCACCCAGTTTATATCCAAGTCTAAAGCTGTCATTAGACTATGCAACTCTTATAAATTGATTGATCAAAGATTTCTGTAAATATCCAGGAGAAAAAAGCTAAATTGCTGTTTGGAATCAAATTTGTAGCTAATATATTACAGTCTTCCCCTAGAATGTGTTAAAGGATGTAGCCCTTCTTCAGGTAGTCCTGCACAACTCACACTAGGCATTTTAGTAAATTTTGTTTTCACACAAGCAAGTAGCCTTGCACTTCTCCTTGAGCAATTCATGGTCACAGCCAGCACTGGCCTTCAAAGAACCGCAGTTGCTAAGGAAATCTTCATACTCACAACTGTTTGCTGTAAAGAAAAAAAAAAATAAGGTTTTTTATTTATTTTTCTTTATAGCAGCAAAGGAATCTATTCATTCAAAAGGCAGGAGGAGACATAGGAGAGAGCTACCGTGCTAGCATCGCTTACTGCTTGAGGGTAGATGAGGTGCCTTAGTTGAGCTTACTGATCAATCCATTACTTTTTAAAAATAATTATTTCATGTTATTTATCATTATTATTATTTTTTTAAATTTGTTACAGGGCATGTATGCTCACCAGAGAGAAAGAAAGTTAGAAAGCAAGCCATCAGGTCTGGGACTCAATCAGCATCCAGCACCTCAAGCATCATGCCACCTGCTGGCCCCTCCATTACTTGTGTATTTTAAACTCAGTAATGTATTTCTTGTATTATTATTATTTTATGCTATTTGTTATTATTTTGTAATTTGACCAAAGAGAGAGAGAGAGAGATAGAGAGAGAGAGAGGCACAGTGAGAAAGCAAGCGGCCAGGTCAGAGACTAGAACTTCCACTAGCCATGTGAGAGTCCAGTACCTTAGCCACCATGACACCTGCCAGGCCCAGTAATATATTTCTAATATGGATTGATCCACTTTTCTTTCTCAGCAAGCAGGGTAAAATGAATGTACATAAATCCCTCTACCCCCACAGAATAGATACATATGTGATTGGTAATATACATACTTTAATTTTGGCGGGGAGAGACTTTTACTATAGGGCATGTGTGTTCGCTGGAGAGAGAAAGAGAGACAGAGAGACAGAAAACAAGAAATCACCCCTACGGGAATGGCCATGCTACAATCCCTTTTCCTCCATTCTCCTCTAGGGATTTTGGTCATGCATGCACATGTGACTAGTGTATTTTAAACCTCTGAGTTCAGGACTTGAACTGTGGTAATCCATGTGGGAGTCCAGCAACCTAACTATTAAACCATCTGCTGGTACCATGGCAATATATTTTAATAAAGTATCCTGACTACAGAAAGTCAACAGCTCTTTTTACTTCTATTCATGTAAATAATAAAACAAGATGCATGACATTTTATTTTCTCCTTTTGCAACAGTATGTTTGTGAGTTCTGTGAACCAGTAGTATATGCATATTAGATTTTGTCATAAACAATGTGCACAAAACTATCAAATTATGAGGCAAGTGATCAGTTATTAAACACTATGATGCTAATTAGTACAAAAGAAACACTAATACTTGTCTAGACTGAGCCACATTGTGGTCTCACACTGAGATTTATACATTTTCTTTCTTTCTTTTTGAGAGATTTTTACTCTAGGGCACATGTGCTTGCTAGAGAGACAAAGGGACAAAAAGTGAGAAATCACCCCCCCCCCAGGGGGGATGGCCATGCCACAATCCTTTCTTCCCCAGTTTCTTCTTGGGATGTGGGGTATGGTCGCACACATACCTGGCGTGTTTTAAGCTGCCGGGTTTGGGACTTGAACTGCGGTCCACTATGTGGGAGTCCAGCAACGTAACCATTACATCATCTGCTGGCCCTGGATTTATACATTTTGATTGTTTTAAAATACCGCTTTTATAGTGATATTAACTCGGAAGGAATGAACTGTTCACCAGAAGATATATTGTTAAGATGAACGGACTCTGCGTAGTCTCCAAAACAAGTGAATGGCAGGTAATTTCCATTGTGTTATATATGGTGTGCTCTTTTCATTACAAATAAGATATAGGTTACTGAATTCTGTAAAATGTTTATTTTAAACATACTGCTGAGTACTTTTTGCTCTCCCATAAATATACTATTTAGATTGGTTACTTTAAGAGATTTCTTAATTCCTAATAGGAAAAGGAACTATCACTTCTCTTACGTCAGCAAGCCAATTACTTACTGCATAGTCCACTGTCACAGTTTCCAGGGCAACTGGAGCAAGGTATTCCTTGTTGGTAAGGAGTATTCTTTTTATTCACATTATTACCACTGAAATTTAGAATACACAGTGTCAAAATGGTTCACGTTGCTTTCTAGTTTATATGCCAAGGCTAGTGTTGGTCACCAAATAGACAATTAGTCATTATCCCATGTTTTTAGTTCGGTTAACAAAATTGAAAAACTATACTTCTCAATGTGTAATTCAGATCACAATCCTAATTAAAAAATGCTTTGCATTGACCCATCTCCTTGACCATCCTACAAGAGTGAACAACTAGATTGGGATAACTGGAGCCTAGAGTTTTCAGAGTATATCTCAATCTGACAACACCCTCTTTCACAAAGACTCAGTCAAATTGCTTAAGGTACACTCAAAGATGCTAGTTGAGGTAACCTTAGAGAGAAAGGAAAAGATACTGGGGCAGGGGGTAGCAGTATGAAAAAGAATAGTCAGTATTATAATACTGTTTTATATTTGAAAGATAACAAACATACCTACTTCTCTAATATGTGCTAGGGACAATAAAGTTCTAGCATATATATTTTTTTCTTTTAGATAGAGGTAGTGATTTTTAAGTAGTTAGTGGTAGTATATTTAGAGGTATGTCCTAAGGAAGAGGTGATATGTAATTTTATTTTTTTAATTGCTAAAGGGTATGCACACTTGTCAGAGGAGGAGGGTGATGGTGGGGGAGAGGGAGAAAACCCCCCGCGAATGGTGTTTACACAATCTCTTCTTTTCCATTGCTCTATCCTGCCAGGATTTGGGCATACATGCACTTGTGTTGAGCGTGTTTTTCAAGCTTCTGAGGTCAGGATTTAAACCACAGTCGGTCATGTGAGATACGACTTCCTTACCCATTAGGTCATGAGGCTGGCTCTGTGAAATTTTTATGTTTACCAAAAAAGGAATTTGAGTTGGTAAAAACGTTTGTATGAACACCAATGTTCATGGTACAATAGTCTTATATTGACTAACCAGTAACTCAGTGGTGACCATCATCTTATCGACCATTTCATTTATTTTAAAATATATGGATGTCCAAATCCCAATGGTGTTAAATGAGGCAAGGACCCCAGGCAATGCAGCTACATCTCAGTCTCCCTGCACAGGGCATAGCTGGATGTGCAGAAGCACTGGTGAAATAGATGTATAAAAACCTTCTGGAAGTTTTCTCTCCCCTGCTTTCTCTCTTGATTATTCACTCTGATCATCATCTCTATGTTGGACTCCAAATGACTCCATCTGAGAGGAGGCAGTGAGTTTGGATGCACTCTCATGGGGCCTTTCCATTCTCTGTATTAAATCCCACCAGGTGGGGCAAGAAAATGACTCTGGAGGCTAGGCTTCTCCAACTGGAACTCTACCTTGTCTGAATTCTCTGTAGTTTCAAAATGAATTATGTACAAGGCTTGGTAATATGGCCCAATTGTCTCCAGTGGTAAAGAAATAAAAACATTACAACAAATTAAAAACTAGGCCTGCAGGTGGCAAGGAGATTAAGGTGGCTGTATACCACATGGTCGACTTCTCAGTTTGAGTCGCAGACCTGGCAGCTTGAAAATCAGGCTGGGCACATGTCCATGCATGCCTAAAATCCTCAGAGGAGAATGAGGAAGGGACTGCAGCACGGCCATCCCCTCTTGGGTGTGATTTCTCATTTTCCCCTTTCTCTCTCTCTCTCTGGCAAGCACACAAGCCCTATAGCAAACTATTAATAAAAAAAGAGAAAATATACAAAAAATTAAAATGAACAGATATGGTGTGAATATGACTTCAATACAGCCCTTGTATTTGTGGATAACTTTATTGTTTGAGGAAGACGTATATATTTCCTGCTGTAAGCCAATATCTTATAAGGTGGTTTTAAAAGTTCTGAGAAGCAAAGACTTAAGATGCCACCTTTTCTTTTATTCTGAAGTGCATTACAGATTTCCTGAAAAGCTTTTGAGACTCAAAAAGTATGAACCATTTTGTAAAAATTGCCAAAGGGCATGTGCATGAGAGAGAGAGAGAGAGGGAGAAAATGCCTCCCAATGGGGCATGGTACGCCACAATCCCTGTCCACACTTTGTCCTTCACGTCGAGTGTGCACATGGCCCAGTGTGTTTTTCAAGCCACCAGGGCCAAGATTTATACACAGGTTGGCCCTGTGAGATCCAGCCCCCTACACACATTGCTTAAACATTGTGCTACAGGTCCAGTCCAAGAATCGACCTTTTATAATAAGAAAAAAAATATTTTTAGATATGTGGAAGCAGGAATATTTCAGTAGAAAGGGCCAAATTCACAATATTACTTCCCCATTTTGCTATCCCACTAGTATCTTTGCTTAATCATTGAGCTTCTACACTCCCATAGTATGGAAATAACCAAAATTGATGATACCAGATCTAGGGAAATGGACACACACATGCTCATGGAGTAGCTCTGAGCCTAGGGAGAGCCAACTGAGAGGCAAGATGCCATTTAATAGACCAGGAAGGCAAGCTTCAGGTTTCATACTTGCAAATAGAAATTAGTCTCTGAGAAGATGAAAATACTCAATCTTAAAAATTATCTCAAAACACGCGTTCCCTCTCTCCTTTACAAAACTATGCCTTTTTATCCTGGTTTGTTTAAAAGAGAATTGAACATTTTAAAATTATGAATGGAATTACTAACATTTAGATGCTAAACTACACACTTACGCTGGACAATACTGGCAAACATAGTAGTATTTTAGACTCTCTTGATTGGGACAGTAGGCAATTCCACATCCAACACGGTAAGATGAGTACCAGACAAGCTGCAAATTCATAAGGGAAAAATATATGAGAGCACCTCAGAAAAGAGGGACAATATTAAAAATTAAAAAGCAAAAAAAAACACTAAAAACAGTGTCACACTTTGTAGGCACACACTTTATGAAAATAAATTATTGACTCAAAGTCACAAACTTTAAAAATATTATTTTATGTATATTCACCACTTTATCCACTTATACCATAAGAACAATACATGATGTGCTTTCCTACCAAGAGTTTGGCAGACCATAGACAAAATTCACAGCTCTATATGAAGTACCAGCCAAACGATCAGACTATTGGGTTGTCGGAAAAGTCGTGATGCATTTTTGCAACAGGTGGAGCTAGTTCATTCTTGGAAGTACTGAAGTTATTCACATCTATGTTATTGCTGTGTCACTGGACAGCTAACAGTTCTAGCTTCATTAAAAAAAAAAAAACAAAAAAAAAAAAAAAAAAAAAAAACGAGTGATTTGATTGCGTTCTGGAGATTTTACGAGTTGAAGATGGAAGACCAAAATGTATGTTTTTGCCGTACTTTGTGGTTTTACTTCTGTAAAAGGAAGACCATGCTTGTGAAAATTTGCATAAAGTTCACACTGACAATGCTCTACAAGAATTTAGTGCCATCGATGGTTCATGAAATTCCGTGCTGGTGATTTTGATTTCAACGACACTCCTTGCTCAGAGAGGCCCCCTAAGGTTGATATTGACACAATAAAGGCATTGATTGTGTCAATTGTAGAAGCATTTAATACCCATCATTCAAGTGTTCATGACCTTTGAAGAAGCTGGGACACATAAATTAGCAAGTCTGATAATTAGGTTCCTCCTGAACTCAAGTTCATTTGATGGCACATATACACATCTGCAATAAGCTCTTTAGGAAAACAATCTTTCTTTGAAGTGACTGATAACTGGTGATGAGAAGTGTGGTATGCAAACAGTCTTGGTCCCGATGTGATGATTTGCTTCAAACAACAATGAAAGCAGAAATTCATCAGAGGAAGGTTATGCTCTCAGTGTGGTGGAATTTTAGAGGTGTCGTGTTTTCTGAGCTCTGACCAATGAACCAAACAATCAATTTGAATGTGTACTGCCTGGAATTTGACAGTTTGAACAAAACCATCATCCAGATATATCCAGAGTTCACTGCTCATAAAGGAGTTGTGTTCCGTCATCACAACATGAGGCCACATGCAAGTTTGATCACGTAGTTTACTGGAGCTTGGATGGGATGTGTCGCCACACCCACCATACTCGCCTGACCTTGTGCTGTCAGACTTCCACTTGTTTCGCTCTCTTCAAAGCTCCTTGTATGGTGTAATAGGCAATTCAGATGAGGCTGTAAATCAGCACCCTATTCAGTTTTTCACCAATAAAGACAGGTCTGCCTATGAACGAGGAATTTTGAAGCTCACTGAAAGATGGCAAAGGGTTATAAAACAAAACATGCAATGTATCATTGATTGATCTTTGTCTTTTATATAAGTAACCCTTTGCAAAACAAAAATATGTCAGACTTTTCTGACAACCCAATGCATGGTACCTACTCAGGCTGGTGCCCTAACTGAGCTCTGCATTTGTTCTGTTAGAGCATCCCTGGAGGGCATATTTCCCTCCATTCTCTATACCTGAGTATAATGTCCAGTAACTGCAGTGGGACTCTTTGATCCTACGCCGTAAACAAAATCTAGACCTTCATCATACCAGCTTTGGATTGCAGTTGACCAGGAAGTAGGGTCACTTGACATATAGAGATTCTCACCACATTTTGTACCTAAGAAGAAACAAGTCATTTTTATGGAGAAAGTAATAAAATATGCAATGGCAAAAGAAACTGACTACAAAAACACAAGGATGCTGCCTTTCAAACCTCAATCCCATGGTTGCCAACAATTGATTAATTCAGAAGGAGGGTGGCTCAATTCCTCATCAGTTGTAAAGCTGATGAGAAGACAGAACTACCTAACACTCTGCGGCCGACCTCAACGAGCAAAACATTGAGGGTGGAGAACATCCCATTCTTTAAGAATTTGTCTCACTCTGGATTGTCAAAGATGCATTAATTTACACACGAAACCCTTCATGTGTGCACGCTTTGTGTGTTCTTGGCTTTATACTGTGAGCTTGCTAAAGGCTGTGACCAGCTCTTCCACCTTCTCTCCTGCTCCTGCCATCCCCATCAGACACTTTTTACATAAAAGACTTTGAATAAAGGTTTATGATTTTGTGTTAAATCTGAGAAAAAAGCTTTATAGTTTTTAAGAGTCGTAATTTATGGACATCAGGATGAATGCTAGCTTTCAAAATGTATTAACCAGGAAATCATAATGTCACAAACCCAAATCCTCCTCAGAGAGTTAGGCGAGAAGAACCCTACAGTGTAGATCATCTTCCTGTGTTTTACAAATCCTCACATAATACTGCATTTTCATGGCTTGGAAGGTAATGCCTACATGCTGCTGCATTTTTTTTTTTTTTTTTTTTTGGTTTTTGCCATAGGGTGTGTGCAATCACTGGAGAGAGGGGGGGGAGTGAAAAATCACCTCCCAGGGGATGACCATGCCACAAGGACCTCACCTCCAGTCTCCTCTCAGGATTTTGGGCATGCACACATACATGCTTGGTGATTTTCAAGCTACCAGATCCAGGACTTAAACTGTGATCAGCAGGTGGGAGTGCAGCATCTTAGCCACTATGCCACCTGCTGGCTTTGCCTTCATGATTCTTTTTTGTTTTGTTTTGTGTTGTTCTGTTTTTGAGAGGTTTTTGCTATAGGGCACGTGTGCTTGCCAGAAAGACAGAAAGAAAGCGAGAAATCACCCCCAGGGGAGATGGACATGCCACGATCCCTTTTCCTCCATTCTCCTCTCAGGATCTTGGGCATACATGCATACGTGTCTGGCGTGAGTTTAAGCCACTGGGTCTGGGACTTGAACCACGATTGACTACATGGGAGTCCAGAGACATAGCCATTATGCCAACTGCTGGTCCCCATTATTCTTAAAAAGGGTAGAAATTTGACCAGCCAAGGTACACAGCAGTAACACAACACTCTGTGATGCCGAAAGCTACATGAGAAGGTCCCAGTTAAGTTTCCTGAGGTTTGTCTGCATATGCCAAGTACACATGCACATAACCTGTGATCCTGGTTGAAGGCCAAAGATGGATCGTGGCGTAAAGACCCTTTGGAAGGGTACCTGTTTCTCGCTCTTTCTCTGTCTCTTATGAAAGAAGTAAATATAATTTTTTAAAAATTGGATATCTCCTTTAATAGGGAAGAAAAGATACTAAAAATCTAACAGTAGAAATATTTTTAGGACCATTTGCTTCAATTATTTGCTGAACCCAATCATCTCTTTTTATATTTTCAGTATTATTATAACATCAACAGTACTATATAAATACTAACAACTTGATTTAACACATATATTACTCACTGCTTTCAAATTGAGCTTGGCTATACATATGATATGATGGATAATGTAACTAAAAAGAGTTTTTTTTTGAGAGGTTTTTGCTATAGGGCGCATGTGCTCACCAGAAAGACAGAGAGACAGAAAGTGAGAAATCACCCCCTGGGGGGATGGCCATACAGCAATCCCTTCTCCTCCATTCTCCTCTCAGGATCTTGGGCACACATGCACATGTACCCAGGATGAGTTTAAGCCACCAGCTCTGGGACTCGAACTGTGGTTGACTACATGGGAGTCCAGCGACATAGTCATTACGCTAATTGCTGGTCCCTGTAACTAAATATTTTATGTTGAGTTAATGAATACAAGTACTTTTGCTTTCATATAATCCTTGATAAAATATGCCTTATTGTTTTCTTGAGTCTAATGTTGTATTTTGTAGTCTATATAACATACTTCACTGTCTGATATAAAAATGTTTTAACATATGCCAATTATTTTATAAAAATTTTGAATATAATAAATTTTCATATGCTTTAAAAAGTAAAAATAGTTTGGGACCAGAAGACAGCATAATGGTTACATCACTGGATTACCACGTAGACGACCACGGTCTGAGTCCCGGACCTAGCACCTTAAAACCCATGTGGGGCACATGTGCATACATGCCCAAAATCCTAACAGGAGAATGGAGAAGAAAGGACTGCATTGTGCCCATCTCAGCAGGGGGTGATTTCTCATTCTGTCTCTCTGTCTCTCTGGCAAGCACACACACCCTATAGCAAAAAGATCTAAAAGAAAAAACAGTGAAGATTTTTATATTAAAACAAGAATTCAACATACATCAAGTACATTTTATAAATACGCAAATAAATTTCAAGATATCAAAAGGTTACATGATATTTAGCACCAAAAAGGCGGTAGATTAGATATTAGGAAGCCTACTTAAATTTTTTTTAGTATGACACTATTTTACATTGTATTCTTGGGTAAGTTACTTTGCTCCCAAAGCCTGGTTTTTTTCATCTTTAAAATGACAAAAGAAAAAAAAAAAAAAGATGGTACCATGACCTGCTTTACTCGAGCTGGGTGAGCAAAGTAAATGAGTTTCGTTGTGAAAAATTATTCGCATAATATACACAAAAAATAAGCACAAAATTGTTCTTAATGCAGTAGTGTCTATCTATGTAAGATGGCAGAATGGAGGGCCGGCAGGTGGTGTACTGAAGTTGTTGGGCTCCCACGTGGCTGATCGCAACTTTGTCCCCGACCTGGTGGCGTAAACGTGACTTAGTCCCCGACCTGGTGGCGTGAAACTCATGCTGGCCTGTGCGCATATGCATCCAAGATCCCAACATGAGAATAAAAGAGGCGGGATAGCGGCATGGTCATCCCTGTTGGGGGTGGTTGCTCGCTTTCTGTCTGCCTCTGTCTCTTGGGCGAGTGCATGTGTACTATAGCAAACATCTCTCAAAAAAAATAGGTAAGAGCAATATAAGCAACATTTCTTCATACACAATCTTCTTATGCAATCTCCCACAATGGGCCATTATTATTACATTCATCCATTTATTTGAGAACTATTTACTAATTTACATACTGGTTTGTCGGTCCTCTGGAGTACTATGTTCTAAAGTGCACTTATTTGCCCACTTCTGGGCATTCGTTGCTGCTTCTCTATTCCATTCCTAAACAAAGCAAGAAAAAAAGTATACTTATAATAAGTCAACCACAGTTAGACATATGCTTTATAACCTGTTTGGCAGACCAATTTGTAATATGAATACTTTAAAACATCCATAGATGTACTAATTACAATGTTTTAAAAATGCCTTTTTTTAAAAATTTTTTCGGACATTGTCTTTTTCTGCACTAGTGCCAGTTTCCATATAAAGAAGACCAAGGGCAATGTATTCCATCAGTGAGATGTCGAAGGCCGTAATATGTATTTACCATAACTCAGCGAACACCTCTGGAATGTTTGTGACGGTGCTACTCTAATGACTGATAAACGTGAAGTACCGTAATCACATTTTAAGGGTAATCCATCAGCCTAGTTAATGTTCAGTTTGTAGCCCATTGCTTTCATAATGGAGATACCTGCTTTTTAGCCATGGTGCCCTAAAAAGTAGGCATTTATTTACAGTAAATGATACAGATCTTGAAGGAAAGGAGATTTATTGATTTTTAGATCAGGAAAGATAGTGAACAAAAAAAAGGTAATGACTTCAAATGGGACACATAAAGATTTTACTTCCAATTCTGCATTCTCAATGTATTAACCATGTAACTGGGATAAGTTATGTAACCGTTTTAAAAGTGAAAATAAGAGGGGCCAGCAGGTGGCGTAGTGATCATGGCACTGGACTCCTACATAGCTGACCCTGATTTGAGTCCTGGAGCTGGTGACTTGAAAATTCCATCTCACATGTGTGTGTGCCCAAAATCCCAGGAGAATGGAGGAGAAGGGACTGTGGTGTAGCCATCCCCAATGGGGGTGGGGGTGGGGGAGGGAGGATTTCTCACTTTCCCTGTGACAGTCTATCTGGCAAGCACACATACCCTATGGCAAAAATCTTAAAACATAAATGACAAGAAGAAATATAGTCCTTCCCACATAATTCAAATTTAAAAATAGCAAAGCAGAAGGCTGATCTTGTAGCTTCATGGTTAAAGAAAACTGGATCCCACCTGGCTGACTGTGGTTTGAATCCTGAAAACAGTGACTTGAAAAACATGAAAGGTTTACGTGTGTGTGTGCCAAAAACCCCAACAGGAGGGCAAGATGGAGAGGAGATTGTGGTGTGACCTTGCCCCACCACAAAGAGCTTTTTCCTCCCTCTCTCTCTCTCTCTCTAGGAAGCACACATGCCCTCTGGCAATTTTTAAAACTATAGCAAAATAGAGATAGAACTTTGTCAACCACAGAGTTCTTAAGAGATGCCAGTTGCCAGCTTCCTGCTTCTTCCTGACTAGTTTCCAGCACTCGCCTCACATCTGTAACACATACCATTTTTAGCATGTTGCTGGCAGGTGGAGAAACTCTTTTCCTTAGTTCATTGTGTTTATTTACAATCTCCTTCTGTATTTGTGTCTGGGTGGTTAACAAAGCAGTGAAAACTGGATCCTAAAACAAGTAAAATAAAATTATTTTTAAACATTTTTGAAAATTGCATAGAATGGTGAATAAGTTAATTTAAGGAATGAAGACTAAGTACATATTTATTTATCATGTGGTATTGTATAAACAATAAAAGCAAATCTTAGTTTTTACATATGGACAATAAATCTGAGCCAAAGATATGACTTAATAGAAAAGTAGCAGATAGAAGCATTGAGAATGGGGAGCAGTTCATAGCACGACAGATTAAAAACTCTTCTGAGGGGAACCAGCAGTTAGCGTAATGGCTATTTCGCTGGACTCCCATGTAGTCGACCGCGGTTGGCATCCCGGACCCAGTGTCTTAAAACTCACGCGGGGTGCGTGTGCGTGCATACCCAAGATCCCGAGAGGAGAATGGAGGAGAAGGGATTGTGGTGTGGCCATCCCCCCTGGGGGGTGATTTCTCGCTTTCTGTCTCTATGTCTCTCTCTGTCTGTCTGGCGAGTGCACGTGCCCTATAGCGAAAACCTCTCCAAAAAGAAAAAAGAAAAAAAAAAAAAAAAACCTCTTCTGAGAGCTCTAATTCCAATCTCTGGTTTCTAGGGAGCTCTTAATATTATTTTTATGGATACATGAGTGATCATCTTTTATAAACACAACAATTATTGTAAAATATTGTAGGGGATGTAAAATATTAATAGAAACCTTAAGATTTATTTATTCACATTCAGTCAAGCTACAGCAAGGTAAGTTAAGGGCGATGCCCATCAGTCATCCAAAACTTTAAGACAATTTTGTCCCGACGTGGTAAGCACATTTAGGAAAATGTTTAGGTTCACTATAAGAGTAGGTATCACGCTGAGCCCTCTGATAAAACCACTCTACCATTAAGTAGTAGACTTTATGGTGCTGCTTAAAAGACAGCTTTGCAATGTTTAAAAAAACGTCCAGGCAATCTGGAATGAGTAAATTCATCTAAATTTTTCTTTTCTGGGGGGCTATCTTTGTTCCTTTTAGTAACGAAACTGTAGCTAATAAGGTATCAACTGCTAAAATTTGCAGTTCATTTTTTGTAAGTGTAGAGGAGAGGTGGTTAAATCAAGGGAATTGTGTGAATTGTTGGTATTAAGATGCAAGCAGTTTGATGACCCAAATTTACACAAGAACGTGATAGGTTATGGATGAGCAGAATTTCAAATTATACATTTAAATGGACAGGGCCCCTTATACATTTTTATCTGACACCTTGGGATAAGTTATGCAGCCCTGCCCCCACATTGAGTTCCCTGCAGGCTCTCCGAATACTACACTCATAGGTTCCACCACATTTTACCCTTATCTGCTCTGCTTCGGTTTCTCCTCCTGCATTTATATCCCCAAGGTCAGGGATCAGCATTGATGCCTTTGGACCAGTAGCTGTTCACAGTACTGGCTCCCGGGTAAGAAGGGACAAACATGTTCCACAGCAATGGTGGCCTACCTCTGCAGCACATCAAACTTTACCAAAACGTCTCTGAGTATTTCCTATTGACCTCAAAAATCAGCTTCATCTTGCTTTCTATCTCTCTGTCTCTCTCTGTCTGGCGAGCACACGCGCCCTATAGCAAAAACCTCTCAAAAAAAAACCAAATCAGCTTCAAACAATTTCATTTTTTTTAAAAAAAAAATTGTTCTAGAGAAAGCAGAAGTACTTCTTACGTCATGTAGCTTTGTAGATAAAAATTCTACTAAAAAAGAAGTGTACTTGGGACCAGCAGTTAGCGTAATGGCTATGTCACTGGACTCCCACATAGTCGACCGCAGTTTGAGTCCTGGACCCAGTGGCTTAAAACTCACGCCGGGCGCGTGTGCGTGCGTGCCCAAGATCCCGAGAGGAGAATGGAGGAGAAGGGATTGCAGCGTGGCCATCCCCCCTGGGGAGTGATTTCTCACTTTCTGTCTCTATGTCTCTCTCTGTCTGTCTGGCAAGCACACGTGCCCTATAGCCAAAATCTCTCCATAAAAATTAAAAAAAAAAAAAAAAACGTTTACCTTTTCTTTTTTTAAATGAGTGTCAAATGAACTTTTATGAAGTGACAGAAAATATAAATAAGTATTGAGAATAACATTTATAAGATATGGTATATCTTATCCTTGAAGAGTTTAGATATGTTAGGCCAATAGGATGAATAATTACAATACCACATAAAAACAACGCTAATGGAGGGGTCTATAAGATACAGAGGAGAGATTAATTCTTCTTCCTTTAGGTTATGGAAAGCTTCTGAAAAGATGATTCTAGATTGGGTTTTGAAAGACAGTGTTTTTTAGGGACCAGCAGTTAGCATAATGGCTATGTCGCTGGACTCCCATGTAGTCGACCATGGTTCGAGTCTCAGACCTGGTGGCTTAAACTCATGCCGGGCATGTGTGCGTGCGTGCCCAAGATCCTGAGAGGAGAATGTGTGAGAAGGGATTGTGGCATGGCCATCCCCCCCGGCAGGTGATTTCTTGCTTTCTTTCTCTCTGTTTCTCTGTTTTTCTGGTGAGCGCACGCACCCTATAGCAAAACCTCTCTAAGAAAAGAAAAGACATTTTTTTTTTTAGGCATCTTGAGAAGGCACAGAAAATCAAACAGGGCAGAGTATATTTAGAGCATGTGATCAGTAAATATTTAACTTGTGCCAAAGGCCAAACAGCTTTTTCCATCTTAATAAATTTTATAGAGATCAGGAAACAGATCAGAGAGGTTAAAGGAGAATAAAAAGTTCCACAGAATAAAACCTTTCAGGGAAGACATTAGAAAAACCAAGTACTTGAGTGAAACCCTGTCTGGTCAGTAAACTGTCTCCAGATTGATAATCTGATTGTGGCAGCACAATGACTATCCTTCTGACTGCCAAAGGAGGTTTGAGCCAAATGTCAGAGTTCCTTAGATGAGAACCAGCCAGGCTAGTATGCTCAGAGGTAAGGGAAGGTGGGGGCAGCAACAACCAGAGTCCCTCACATTCCGAAGCTTCCTGGCTGGGAGGTAAATACCGTATATGGGCACCACATGCCCCGCCACTGAACGTGACTGACCATGTTCTTAGGCATTTAAGCAAGTGGCATATAGAAGTAATGAGAGGATCTGTATTTCAAGACTTGGGTCCTTCATATACTAATTCTATGACCATTAATAAGCAAGAGAAAATAGAATTAGAGGTTTTCTTTTTCTTTTTATGTATTTATGCTTTGGGGTTGCAAACATTTTATTTTCTTTCTGTGCATAGGAATCAAAGAATACAACCAAAAAAATACAACCAAAAAAACAAGACATCACTCCCCCCCCCCCCCAAAAAAAAACTCTTTTCCAGAGGACCACTTCTATCCCTTATTTGAAATAGCAAATAAATGAAATCATACAATTTCCACATTAAATGCAAGTTAGTAAAATAATTCCTCCAGGAAGTGTTGCATGTGAGCTACAGCATTGCCCCAACTATAAATCACAGTAATTTGAGATATTCCCAGATGCAACAGTGAACACTAGATTCAGATATTATACCTGTGCAGAAAGAATATATTACCAGCAAATACATGAATTGGGTTCATAGATATAATTCAAATGCTCTTTAGACAAACCTTAGAGGAGGTAGGAAGAAGGAAAACTAATGTCTGAATTGCACTGTCTCTACCAGGAACAGTATGGCATGTGCAGAGCTCCAACATTCATGGTAAAATAATGTGAAATAATACACACACACACACATACACACACATATACACACACACACACACACACACATACACATATATATATACACACACACACACACATATATATATATATATATATATA